ACAGCGGAAGCTAACACACGGCTTTTGAAAGATTAAAAGAAGCGCTTATCAATGCCCCTGTTTTGAAATTCCCGGAAGGGGGAACGAAAACCTGAAAATTGCGGCAGATGCGTCGAACTATGCCGGTGTAGGTGCGGTTCTTATGCAAATAACCATTCCGCTGGCATTTTATTAGTAAAACTTTTGAATTCAAACACAAAGGAATTATACAGCTACAGAAGAGAGAAACATTAGCCGTATTAATGGCTGTACACAAATTTCGAGTATATTTCGGCAAAGCGCCAGTAACAGTCTTTTCGGAATCATGCGGGGCTGTTGGTAGACTTTACTCGGGGAAAAACCTAACGCCCAGGTTAATAAGATATGGGCTTTAAAACTCCAAGAAGTATAATACCTCATAATTAAATATAAACCGGGTAAGGAAAACAATGTAGCTGACGCACTTTCTCGTATAAAACTGGACGAGGAAGGTAATGAACTTCAAATGCGCTGTGTTGACTATTTGTTTCTCTAGAATCTAAAATTTTTGAAAAATTTTAGGATTCTAGAGATACGGTTATTACTGAATTGAAAGCTGATCCTGAATTTGGAAGTATCTATGCTTATTTGAAAGACCCCGAAAGTCTTTGAACATACAGATATCGATGCAATAAGAAATAGAGCACAAAACTATGAAATAATAGATAATTTATTGTTTCTATACGAAAACAACAAACGAAAATCTTCGAGTATAAGCCAGTCATCCCAGCCTCGCTTCGATTAAGCATTTTGAAGGGAAGTTGCACGAAAAAAAAACAGCGGGCCACCTCGGGGTCAGAAAGACTTTAAAAAGGGTACGCGAGGCGGTATATTTCCCGCAATTATACAAAATAGTAACGGCGTATGTCAGGTCCCTGCAATCAATGTCAGTTAATAAATGATATTAATTACAGCCCGGCCGGGTACTTAAATAGCATTCGCGCTACATTTCCGAATGAAATTTTAGGCATAGATCTCCTTGGTCCCTTCCCCCAGAGCGAGTTAAATAAAAATCGTTTCTTTTAGTAATAGTAGATCATTTTTCAAAATGGATAGAAATTGTTCCACTTAAACGCGCGTCAGCCAAAACAGTCGCAGATGCATTCTTACACAGATACATTTAAAATACGGTGCACCGATAAAAGTCATTAGCGATAACGGAAAACAATTCATTAGTCAATATTTGAAAACATATGCAATGGACTTGATATACGCCATATCAAAATGGTTCCGTATAGACCACAGGCTAACATAGCAGAAAGAGTTAATAAAAACATTGTAAAAATAATTCGCAGTTACGTTAGCACACATCACAAGCGCTGGGATGGCTACATAATGAATTAGCTTATGCTTTAAGAACGGCACATCATGATACTACGGGAAAAACTCCAGCAGAATTATTTTTAGGCAGAAAGTTAATTACGCCTTTAGATAAATTACTCTTTGTGCAACAAAGAGAGCAGGAATTCAAACAAAAGGACGTGCAAAAACTAATTGATCAGGCGCTTAAAACCTCGGATACGGCAAGAAATAGGCAGAAAATTTATTACGATAAAAAACGCCGTGAAGCAGATTTTAAAGTTGGGTGATAAAGTATTGAAACGGAAATTTTCTTTATCAAGTGCCCCAGACAATTTTATGGCAAAGCTAGCTCCAAAGTTTGAAGGCCCCTATGTAATTCAGGAAATCAAAGGAGTATTTTTATATCTTAAAAACGAGAGAGGGGAAATCTGTAAAGCAAGTCCCGACCAGGTGAAAAAAATACTATAATCCCAATGATTTTGAAATCCTTAAAAGTTTCTTGCAGGACTCAAGTCTAAACGAAATAGAAGGGCCAGAGACTGCAACAACTATTCCACCACCCAAGAACGGAGAACTGAAGAGAGACCTAGCACTTCTACAACCCGGACGTCGGTATCAAAAAGAAAAATGATTATCAAACTCCGGCGTTTAAGAAAAACAAAAGTACAGATGAACCGGGTAAGAAACCGTGGTAAAAAGAAAAACACCACCTACAAAGGATGGCAGGAGGAATTACACATCAAGAAGACGCGCACACGGCCACAGAGTCAGGTGCCAGCAAGGCCGCCGTTCCGGAAACTGAAACGCCAACAGGAAGCACAGAAGTACGAGGAACAGAAGAAATTCAAGGACTCCAGACCGGAGGACGTCAGACCAGCCGTCCCAGGGGCAGAAACGGCAAAAGCCAACAACCCAGAACGATTACAACCCCAAGAGGCCAGCATGTACAAAGGGCGAAAAAGGAAAGTCAACCATGGAGGACAATTCGAAGAGATCAAAAGGAGAAGATTGACATTTCCATGAACTCTGTAACTTGGGATCAATTTTGCCAAAAGACGGATGTCGGAGTTTCAAGCATCGAAAACTCAAAGATAAGTTAAAACCTTCTATAAATTTTTCTCTTTGTTCCTGAAATGTTATGCGCAAAGTACGAAGTTCTATGTTTTGACGAAAGTCAATATGTCTCGGTTGAGACTTAGTTTTGTTTTACTTTATTTAGCTAAGGTAAAAGTATTATTTTCTTTAAGTGTAAAAGCTAAAAACAAGCATTTTCTGTTGGTCGAAAGACTAATTCTGTTATGTTAAAGCCAAAATTTGGCCGGAGATAAAAATAACTTCGTATTCTTGTATGTACTAATAAGAATTTTAGTTTCAGTGCCGCCAGCTTGGCGAAGGATGAGTAAAGTAAAAATTTATTTTCTCTTATTCATTTTATGGTAAATTGTAAAAAGCATATGTATTAAACTTTTGTAAATGTATGTAAATACTTGCATGTTATGTAAAAAGTAGAATTTAGTCTAGAAGCATAAAATTGTAGATGCTTAAAAGTGAATGCTTAAAAGCAATGAAGTCAAAATTTAAGTATTAAACTGTAAAGTCATGGCTTTAGAGCGAAAGCCTGCATGTTTAAAAGATGAATGAGGGGGAAGTTAGAATGAATGTGTTTTGTAGGGTTCTCCACCTACATTTGAATTTTTAAGAATATTAAAGTAGCTCATTGAGTTGTAGAATGGTCGAGTAAGGTCTGTCTATTTGGTTGTTGAATTCTAACAAATCATGGTGGTTAGGGGAAGTGTTGTAAGACTAAAACACGAATATTCCCGTTTGACCACACACGGTGGAGAGCCAGGGTAAAGTTAAATTAATGCTTGAAAAATTGAATGAATGTGAAGTAAGCAATAACTAAGAAAAACGAAACGTTTAAAAACAAAAATTTATTGTGTCAAGAAAGTGTAAATTATAATGCATGTAGAAAGATACTGATACTTATTCCTTCCAGATGCTGGAAGGAAAGACCAAGATTGATTGATGAAGTCCAGGAAAAGTTGCTGTAAGAAGAAACCTTTGTAAAGAGTAACAGAATTTTAATTGTTACAACATAAGATTATTTTTGTGTAAACGAGGCTTTCGCCAGTTAGTTCAGAATTAGATAAACTTACAACAGGTCGTTTGTAGGACCTGCTTCCAAGTTTTCCAAATTCTGGGCAGCGGCAAATGTAGGGTTTATATTTATTTTAACTAACATTTATTTTAAGTTTAAACTATCTTTCCTGTCAATCCTTACTTTCCCCTGGAACTGCCAATGCCAGAATATGTAAATTTGAGTAGAAAACGCGCAAGCATTCAAATTATCAGCGGAAGTAGTATGATTTAAATAGAAGGAAACAAGTTCGGTGAGAGAGAGTTTATTCTTACTTAGGCGAGCGCGGAGGTAGTTATATAGAGATTTGAAAAAACCCCGCGTTGCGGCCTATGTGCTTGGCGGGAAGTAGTTGCAATTGTTCCAGTGAACTTCAAGTCTGCTGAATTAGCAGCCGTATTGTAAAACGCGGTGAGTTAGTTATTTGAGAGAGCCTCGTAGTTAGAATATTGTCTTTAATTTCTTTTCAGGTTTTTATTTTTATTTTGACTGCCGAGTTGGCACCGTTTGTAAGCGTCAAGAGAACGCAATTGTAAATTAGTACGTTGAATAAAAAGGGAATTAAACCCTTTATAAGACTCTGTGGTTTATACAAGCTTTCACAGTCACCTCTTGGTTGCGTGCTAGTTAGAGGCGCGCAACGTTATATATTAAATAAAATGACTATCTCAGTGCTGTAAAATTGTATGGTAATTAAATAATCCATTAATAGCATATATTCAGAATACCAATAATAATAATAATAATAATAATAATCTGAAAGGTTTCAGATTTTAGATTACGTACAGAGGTTTTTTTTTTTTTTTTTTTTTTTTTTTTTTAACGTTTGTTTTGTGTGTTACCTTTATTTATTAAATATCATGTTTTACAATCTCAAACCATAAAATTCAGTTCAACAGCGATATCGCTAAATAATTTTAAAATGCATATCTTTAGAATCTCCCAGCTTTGAAATCGTTTAGTTTATTAATCAAAAATTCGTTGAAGTGTTACAAAATATGAAATTGATAATAAAACAAATTTCAAATTCAAATTAGGACTTCCACATGCCCATATATGGAAGATTACATTATTCAAATTTTGATGACTCTAGGTAACGTTGTTTTATCATAATGCGAGAATTCATGCACATTTTTCGTTATTTAATATCTTTAAATATAATACAGGGAGATAATATTTGGTGGCAAGAATTTGAAAAGTGAAACAACGCTTATCGTGAATCGACGCAAAATGGCAAAACGAAATTAATATGTGCTTCTGAGCAAATTGCCCATTTGGACTAAAAATTCAGATAGTAATTACGCAATCATCCATAATTTTTAATACATAATTTAAAGAAATAATTGCTGATTTAAATTTTTATTATTATATGTTTTGCTCAATAACCACTTTGATAAACTAATTACAGTTAATTCAAAAACAATTTTTTTTTTTTAATTTCTGAACTGATGAACTTATGGGATTAGTTACCGTTCTGTAAAGAAGATTTTTAGACAGTTTAGTAAGTTATTATCATTCTTTCTTTATACAATTTTGGTAGGAGGCGATAATGGGGTTTTCAATCAAAAGACACCGACGACATTGCTTTTGGATCCAAAGGAAAAATTCCACTCTTTTGGTTATGCTGCACGAGACTATTACCATGACTTGGACTCTGATGAAGCGAGGCAGTGGTTATATTTTGAGAAATTCAAGATGACACTGCATAAGACCGAGGTAATGTAAAATATATTTATTCAGCTAAAAAAGCTAAGATACCTTATTTAGAAAGAGTGCACAGAATTAATGAATTAGATTTTTTTTAGAAAATTGGTTCCATAAAGTTTGTTTAAGCGTCATTCTCAAGAGATGGAGATAAGAATAATTTTCGAAAGTTTTATTTATGATTAATTTTCATTTTTTTAAATAGTTATTAAAAACAGTTTCTAGAATTTTTAAAACTGTGACGTAAGTTCAAAGTACTTTTTCAAATTTTATTAAATGAATCTTGCAGAAGTGAAGACACGTATTCTTTTCTTGCAAAAGTTTAGAAAGTCAATAGTATAGTGCATAACTCCCGAGAAACAGAAAAATGATTCTAATAAAGGGGGGCAGGGAGAAAGAAGGGAAAAAATCATGCGAAGTTAAATTTCTTTTTTTGTTTGTATGTGTTACGTTGTTGTAGCAAAAAAAAAATGTCCGAGCAAAATTCGAGAATTGATAATAAATCAAGTTAGACTACAACAAGTCGCAGAAAGTCATATCATACTAAATTTCCATTAGAACTTAGTTTTATAAAGTATGTTTAACTATTCTTACATTTAATTCATATAATTCTTGATGTGTATATCTGTAAATTGGGTGTCAAAACGTCATGGTGAGATTCTTCTACTTGTATTCTGTTCCTTCGAATGGGAGTATCAATGCATACATTTAATCTGCATGTAACACGGCACACGTTTCTACACATAATCAAGATACGTTGAATTATTATATCTCATGATGGTAAATCGACCGAATGATTGCATTTTCTCGAAGCTCTTTTTTACCTATAGATTTCTGTAAGTAAAATGATTCGCACCTTGTCCGTGCAGCAACTAGAAACAACAGTTTGATGGTTTTCCTTAAGTGACGGTTGCAGCCCTTGATATTATTTCAATGTGTGCTGTACTGTTAAGAGAGTATGAATAGAAAAAAGGTGATGCTTTTTAGATTCTTTGCCAACTGTTAATAACAATAAAATATTCCAGAGCCACCTTATGGGAATTTTTATCGCATGAAATAAAACCAGATCCAATGATTTTCAAATACATTTCAAACAGAGGGAATTCGTACTTCATATGTAATATTTACGTTATTTAGAAGAATTAAAAAATGGCATACCACAAAAATACTTCATGAAGCTTTTTCACCTGTCAGAATTCGTGATAGCATAGTGGGATCAGATGAATTCATATTCTTTTTATCGCAAATTAAAGGATTCTAATATAAGCAAGCTATAAATCAGTGATGATTATATTAAAAATCAGATATGAATGATAAATATGATTGGTCTGGTTATTTGAATATGGTGAAGCACACGAGAGTAATATGTCTAAGGGTCCATTAGAAGTAACTGAGTGGTTAGGGCCACTGAACGACCCGGGTTCGATGGCAGGTGAACGAGGGGGCTACATGGTTGATTTTCCAATGTGTAAAGTGAATAGGTTTTCCTTAGAAAGTCCTCTACAAAGGCAGCCCTGCCTTTAGGTAGATAACCCTTATATATTTTGCCGTGTTCCAGTAACCTAATCTGCTTAAATATATATACCGTATTTATAGTGGGATTACACAGGGGGGGGGACCCCGAAAATGCCTATGCAGCCCATCCGTTTGTCGTTATTTGAACGGGGATCGAACAACTAGTGTTCAGCGGTCTTAACCACTCAGCTACTGGTGGGCCTTGAGTTACGAAGTGTAACACATTTATATCGCAGTCAGAAATATTGGACCTCGTTATTAACGTGTTTTTTTGCATTAAAGGTATAATAATGAAGTTTTGACTAACTATTTTTAATAAAATTAGAATTTTAAAGGTAACTAAAACTGTGTTTCAGTCTAATGTTTTTTCCCTCCACCTTTCAGTATTTGAGCAGGGATACTTTGATCTATGCGGCCAACGGACGAGGACTTTCAGCAATGACCGTTTTTGCGCATGCATTGCGTTACTTCAAGGAGCATGCCCTTCAAGAATTAAGTGATCAGTCTGCTACTACCATTCTTAACGATGATGCTCGATGGGTGGTTACAGTTCCTGCTATCTGGAGACAACCAGCCAAGCAGTTCATGAGAAATGCTGCATACGAAGTAAGGCTACTCTTTTAACACATTCAGCGTACTGAAATACAGATAACACATATGTTCAAGATTTAAAATAGGCAACACTGTATCCTCGGGTAAGAACGGTACGTGAATTATGGCGAGTATGACAGTGTAATTATTTCCGCACAAAATAATATCCAATTTGTAGGAAAGAATTCAAAATAACAGTAACAGAAAAACAAAATAACAGTAACAGAAAAACAAAATAACAGTAACAGAAAAAGAGTCCTTTGGAGTCCACATGGATCGTATAATGGAACATTTTAGGCACTGATCACTATGTTGCAGCGTTAAGGGAAGCTGATGCAATAATTGTTTTGCTGACTATTCGTGAAGAATTAGAGGACATTGCACCATACTTATGGGTATTTGGGCTGTGGAACACACTTAATTTTCTAACAAAGGGTATGTATTGTGGCTGTACGATTCGTAGCAACGATGCAAACAAAATGTTTGTCGTCTGGAGCATTGGCAAATAGGGTCACTGAGATCTCGTATGTTGCTCTGTGTGGCCTTCCTGGAACTATGAATCCAAGACCTCATAACAATCATTGGATCAAAAGCAATGCCACTAGCAGTTGCTTGGTACTGTAATCCGCAATCATGGTAAGCTACAGTTTTCTCGCAGTCGAATTCTGAAACATACTTATATGAGTTCCTTCTTACAACGAGGTATAACGCGACATCTAGCACAAAATAAAAGCGAATAACTCGATTTCCGAATAAAAAATCAGTATGTCAGGCTGCCTTTTTATACTGTTTCAAGGTGTCATGACTTCCCTATAATACACCGGGACTAATAAATCTAATAATCGCCGGTCCTGGTATATCTCATAATAATTTTAGGGCATGCAACTACATCCGGTTTAGTTCCATGCCTTGAAACGTTAATCATTTGCATAACACAGTATGTTCCACCTTTCGTGCCAATTTCAAATTTCTTGTTTGCTTTCTTCATGGTGTAGCAAATTTAACGGCCAGCAATGCGCATACATAAATTCAACTTATGAAATAGGTAATTGAATGAAAAAGCAAGCAAAATCAGTTTTTATTCTACTAAATATTAGACACCATTTTTATAAAACAGAAAATATATTAAAAGTAGTTGGAGGGGATTTTTCTGATCGATTTTAATGAAAACATTTTGTGAGCCGGAAGGTAAAAAATTTCATTTTCAGTGTGTTCCGGGTGTATTTAGTTATTCCCAGTGTTGCCAGAAATTTTTGAGTTAAACTAGAAAGAGACGAAGTAAAAAATCGCAAAAAATATCACGTAACGTGAGACATCATGCGATTTTAATGAAGTATAAAGAATGATGACTGTCTTGGAATTTGGCAGATATAATTAGATAGTAATTTCTAATTTCTAATTCTTATTTATAGATATAAAATAATATAATAATTCTTATTTATAGACAGATAATCTCGTCTTGGCTTCTAAAAGTTTGGCTCTGCTATATTCAGTATATATGAATTATTCTAAAAAATCCTTCCTTTTGAAAATATACCATAGAATAAACTCAATGAATGCACTACAAGACAACCATCTGTTTTCAGGCATAAAATTCCACTTTAAACAAGTACTGTACTCCATTAAATCAATTCATATTTACATAACTTACAATAAGCTTTTGTCTTATCAGTTTTCATTCTTTATAGCCAGTTCTCAAACATGAGTAAGCCAAACATTTTGATAAGTGGCGCTGAATTTTTTTCGTGCAGCTTTTATTTCACATTTAACACCATATAATCTTACTTAAACTCGAGCATTCTACTAATAGATCATGAAAATATTACACAAACTAATCAATTAAACATATGAAAATGCCTGCTGCTAATGCTAGTACCATGCACGTACTAGCACTCGTGGGCCACGAACGCAGGATCGTCAGTTACCAAATTTTATTTAAGCCTAAATAAGTTATTACTCTTTAGTATAAGTTGTAGAGACATTAGGTATTTTTTTTTGGAAGCCAGAGAGATGAAAACTAAGCAACCGCCTTCGCCGGGAATCGAACCAGGGACCTCTGGAATACCGGCCCAGCGTGCAGAACCACTACACCACGAAGGCACGCTAGGAAATTGGGAGAAATACCTTATAAAGTTAATTTCAGTAGATACATTATATTAACTTATACGAATTTTATCATACTGTAAAGACATTAGATATTTTTTGAAACAGGAAAGATGAAAAATTAGCAATGCCTTCGCCGAAAATCGAACCGCAGACCTCTGGAATACGCGCCTCAGCGTGCAGACCACCACACTACGAAAGCATGCGAAGAAGGCGGGAGAAATACCTTATACTACATTAAAAAAATCTAAGTTAGCACCAGAAAGTGATGAAGCAGCAGAAAACTCGCAAAATCGCACATAGGCATAAATTTTAGTAGCACATGGTTGTCAAAAGCAGCAAATTTGTGAAAAGTGGGACTCCTTGGCAACTCAGATTATTTCAAAATTTTTTCTGCTGTGTATTTTGAAGCTTCTCTCCACACATCGTGAGATTCGTACATTTTTTTTTTTTTTTTTTTTTCATAAAACTAGAATATGAATGGTTAAACAAGGCTCAGGAATAATGAACTGCAAAATATACTCAGTTAATATGATTGAACTCAACTGACAAGATTTTATATGGTAAGATTAAAGCTTTCAGACTTGATCACGGAATAAAGCTTTAAATATATATTTTCATTTAGGCTGGAATAGCATCCAGCGAAAATCCCGAGCAATTGCTTATCGCTTTGGAACCAGAAGCCGCTTCCATCTTCTGCAGAAGACTTCAACAGCACCAACTAGTTCCACTCGTATCTTCTCCTCAGAGGCTTTCCCTACCAAATATCAAGGAACCTGCTGAAGGAAGTCTTGAACCAGCTGTCATTGAAAATGCTGGTATGGTTTTATTTCTCATTAATACACCGTTGATCAAGAATATTTTTTAAGTATTGCTTCATGAAATCACCAAACGCTTATTTATATTGAAATGATGTTTCATCTTCTTGCCTCATATATAGTGTCTCACAAAAGTGTTCTCACATTTTAAGAATTTGCAGAAAAAGCGCTGTAACACGGAATTGAATTGGAATATAAAGCCCAATATTTTCTCATATCATCTCCATGTGACTTTGAAATAAACCAAACTTTTTAATTTTTAATATTGACTTATTTTATTTTTTTTAAATTCAAAATGTAAGGAGGCATACATAAAACACGCGACAAAAGTGATCGTACACGAATCATTTTCGCAAAATTTCATAAATAAAATAATCGTCTACCACTTTTTTTATTTTTGCATTTTGAAGACGTTTAAAAAATTGTTTGGCTTTATTTTTTTCTTGCTTACTTCGTTATATTTTATTTAATGTTTAAAGATGGTTCGCAGTCGTAAGGAAACAACGAACAGCATTCTAAAATTGATCATTTTTTATCATAAGGATGAAATTCGATTCGGGATATCACTAAATTAGTAAATTTATCTCATTCTTCGGGGTAATATGTGATAGAATGCTTTAAAAAAGAAAATAGGATCCAAAATAAAGTAAGAAGAGGTTGTCCGGTAAAGCGGACTCGACGTGACTCATCGTAATTAGAGATTTATAGTTAGAAAATTTGTGAAAAATCCAACAAGTTTTTTATAGTTAGAAAATTTTGTGAAAAATCCAACAAGTTTGAGTGTTTTAAAGATTTCTACAGAATTTACTGAAAAATTTTCTACTTCAGTTTCACTTAAAACTGTTCGACGAATACTCAGATGAACTGGATTACATGGGCGCTCTGCTCGAAGAAAATTTTTTGGAAGTGCAAAAATTAGAAAGCTTAGGCTTTTCTTCTCAAAATCAATGATAAATAAGCCCGAAGCGTATTAGAGTCATGTCTTATTTGAAGATTGAAGGCAAATTTAACATTTTTGATTCCGATGGGCGTATAATTGTATGGAGGAAAAAATTAGGAGTTTAATTCCAAGACCTTTGTTGTTATAGTAAAACATGGCGGTGGAGGTATTCTTGTGTGAGGGTGCATGTCAGCATCAGGATTAAATAATTTAGTATTTATGGATGGCACAATGTACTATGTTCTTTATTTAAATATTTTAAAAGATAATTTAAAATTATCCACCCAAAATTTGGATACTGTAAACAATTTTTTTTTTTTAATCACTATAACGATTGTAAGCACACAGCCCTTGACGCTCGCCTTTGGGTGTCTATAATTGTCTACAAGTTCTCAAAATACCACCTCACTCACCAGATAACCCAACAAAACACATTTGGAGAGATTAGAGGTTAGAGTACGAAGACACAACATTAAAACAAAAACCGAGCTAAAACAATAATGATGGAAGAATGGAGGAACATTGATGCAGATATTACAAAAAAGTAGTGAACTCTATGCCCGGACGTTTGAAAGCAGTCGTAAATACTGCAGTATATACTACAAAATATTAACTGGCAGAAATATTACAAAATTAACTAGAATGTGCAGAAAGCGTACAAAGACTTTTGTGACTTCTGTTACTTTTTTATTATTGATTTTCAAAAAAAAAAAAAAAAAAAAAAGTTTTAATATGTTCATAAAATAATTCGTGTAGTTTTACTAAGAGAAATTTCTAGTTCTTATTAAAAAATTTCATTCTAAAATATTAATTTTTATTAATGAAAAAAGTAATACTTCACTGAAATTTGTAAGTGTGCGAATACTTTTGTGTGCCACTGTAAATACTGTAGTTAGTGTGAGCAGTAGCTAAATCGACTTCTGATTTTTTTTTATTCATTTCGAATATTTATTATAGTCTGTATAATCCGTACCTATTTTCAACAACCGCATTTTACATATGTGTTTATTCACTGATAATGTCTGTTCACTTGAGAAATATTCATTCATAAATCGTGTAAGCGCTTGAAATTGTTTGCTCAAATGGGGAATTAATGCAGCAGAATTTCGCAGTAATATTTAGAATTTGCACAAGGGCTGAGTGATAATTTTCAAAGCTGTATTTCTCTTTCCCGATATTAGGTTTGACAAACCTATAGTTAGTTTCAGAAAGGTTATGCATCAACAAATTTGAACTAGCAGTTGGGTAGCCGTAGCTTTCAGTATTTGGACACAGCGACGTTACGTTTTGTTGGGGTGTATGAGGAAGACATCTGTAGGACTATATGATAGTACTGTGACTAAATATTGTCTTATTTGACTAAATTCGGAAGAACGGTTACGAAGCGCTTCAGTTTACATAAGATGATGGCACATTGTTTGAGTATTTAAAAATGATGGAGACACTTCAAGGCAGTAACACCTGAATGATCGACAAAGTAGTTGGCTCTGCATACATACGCTTTGTGACGTGTGATTTCTGAACGTTCTCAACACTGAAAAGCCAGCTGCAGGGAAAGAAGTTCTTTTCAGTGGAGGAAATTAAAAACACCATTACTGCAGTGTTAAAGAGGCTGTCACAAAACATTCTCCCCCCCCCGGGGGGGAATCGACTGGATGGCAACTTTTAGCGTTCTGGCTAGGACCTATACTTAGACAGACTCTGCTACTGGGATATATATTGTAATTTGCCTTCAAAGGACTAGAGCCATCGATCCTTCGGTGGTCAAGTTAGGTTCAGCAGGGATCGTACAGGTACTGTCAGGTCTGTCTCGGGCTGTCTGATCACTACATAAAGTTGTCCTCGAGGGTTCACCTACATTAGTGAACTCAGGGGGAACTGATGTTGTCGTACGTTGTTTTTCGGTGATTAATTGGTGCCTGGTCACCCTGTCTTGTGCTCATTAACCTGACATTGTTGATTGTCGTCTGGGGTTGACCATTCTCCCCCAAGTAGATCGCCTCTAGAGGTTGAGGCGTCACTCCGTGTAAAGGGCTGTTTTAAAGGCCTAAATCAGGAAATCTGTTCTTACTAGAGCACTGCCACAAACAGTGTATTTCATATTTTGAATCGTTTATAAAACGGTGTGAAATGTGAAACACTCAAATTTGAAAAGAGAAAAAATTTAGAATCATCTGAATTTAGGCTGTAGTCATCTGATTCTGATTAAGAGAATCGAGCTTAAAACATTTCAATTGATATACGTAATTGATAGTTACTTAATGATATTCTTATCCGAAAACAGAATAAATTCTTAAAAAATGCAATTTTTTGTAACAATTTTCAAAGAGAACTCGATAATTGTGGCAACGGTGACTCATAATCCATAATTCCAAAAGACTGGCTTTGCCATTTCGTCCGCATTACCTTCAATTTATGCGAGCCATATTTTCGCACATGAATTTTTTTAAAGTAAGAACAGGAGCAGCTTAACTACCGCAAATTCAGATGTATTCGTCTTAAGATGACTAACTTACAAGACTTGACTGACTTGACTGAATTGTTCAGTTTCAGGGGAGTCACTGATATCGAGGCGAAAAATAAAGTTCATTCAGTTATATTTGTTTTATAATAATAATTAGAATTAGAATTTAAATGTTTATGTTTAAAGTTTAAAGCGTATTGTAATTATTTTCTTAATAAAAGTTTTCTTCTTATTCATCAAAAAAGACTGTTGTAAAATGAAAATACCGTTGACCCGAAACATTTTCTTAACACATACAGTTTGGTTGGCTATGACCCGTAGCCAAAAAATACCGACGCCTGGTCAATGTCGCAGAAAAGTTGAATTTATAATTCAATAATATCTTAACAAACTGTAAACTCATCAAAGTTCTGTTTAAAGTTGTGTTGTTTACCTGTTGCTATTCGGTAGTTAAAATATTTGGCTTAGAAATAAATCACATTAACTTTATGAATTATTTATGCTGATTTTAATATGTATTTCTGAGTAGAAAAGTAGACATTTTTAGATATACTTGTTTTAAATACGAAAAGAGATTCCCTGTTTTCAACAGCAGTGAAACAGTCTAATTGCTACCAACTCTTTAATATTTTATACAAAAATAGCATTCTTTACTTAATTTATTACCCATTACTCTATATGATAATTTTTCATCTCACATCGTTGTGTAATTTAATAGGTACAAGATATATGGTGGTTGACTGCGGAGGCGGAACTGTGGACATAACCGTCCACGAGATCATCGATGAAAATGGTACAATCAAAGAATTGCACAAGGCCACTGGTGGACCGTATGGTTCGGTAGGAATTGATATGGAATTTGAAAAACTCCTTGTAGACATTTTCGGTGGTGATTTCATGGAACATTTCAAGCTGAAGAATCCGGCTGCTTTCGTAGAGCTTATGGCCTTGTTTGAAGCACGAAAAAGGAATGCCAGTCCTTTCAAAATCACACCCATCAACATGGCATTGCCATATTCTTTTGTCAATAGCTACAAAAAGATAAAGAATACTACGGTGAGAAAATTACTTCAGTTTTTAATCAAATATTTTTTTGAATTTTAATACGCATCTTATTTGAAGCATAAAGATCTCTGAATTGTATAAATTTAGTTCTAAGATTAAATACAATATGATGATGACTGTTTTTCTTCTGGAACATTTTTATCTTACACACATTTATGTATTTATTTCCTTTTTTAATTGACGTGATAATTTTGATGAACTATAATTAAGCGCATTAGATGATCGTAATTAATCGTATTAGGAAGAAGGTACTCATCATATTACTTGTAATTCAAAAAATTTACACACTAATCATTACATACGGAAACAAACAAAGAAACAAACAAAAAGAGAGAGAGAGAAAGAAACTGATAAATTTCTCTTACAAATAAAATGATCAGTATATTCAAGGAAAGCATTCTTGTTTATTATGTGCAAAATTTCAGCCGTACAGATGAAGCATTTAGCGTTATATTTTTAGCCTCGGCTGGAGTGCCTATGAATTCCCTATCGAAATTAGACGCTTATCAAAACTTTCATTTAATACGTTGTAGAGACATTAGGTATTTTTGGAAGCAGGCAAGATGTAAAATGAGCAAAGCCTTCGCCGGGAATCGAAACTACGGACCTCTGGAATATGCGCACAGCGTGCAGACTACCACACCACGAAGGCATACCAAGAAAGCGGGAGAGATGCCTTACATACCCCCTTTTTTTAAAGGGCGACTGGGGTTTTTAGGGGACCCAATCGCCAAATCCTGGGTGTGAAAAATCATTCACCACCCTTTTAGTTCGGGCGTGAGTGTAGATACATTAGGTTTATTTCGGAAGCAAGAGATATGAAAAATACGCAACGCCATCGCCGGGAATCGACGGACCTCTGTAATACGCGCCCAGCGTGTAGACCACCACACCACGAAGGCATGCCAAGAAGGCTGGAGAAATACCTTATAAAGTTACTTTCAGAAAATTAAGTTGTGAAATTTGTATCATAGCTGCTCAGAAACAGTATTAAACAGTATTGTAGTAGTTAACAGTATTGCATGCATTAATATTGATTAAAGTATGTATTAGAGTTGGTTAAAGAAAACTTGTCGATGTATTTATCGAACTGTTCATTATATACCACTATCACAACTATTTTTCTTAACAGAAGTATTTTCTAGTAAACTCTAACTAAGCTAGAAAAATTTCACTAAATATTTCTGATAGCATATGCCTGAGAAAAAATAAAATTACACTGGTTATCATAAATTAAGAAAAAATAAAAAAATAGCGATAACTCCCTCAAAAATAAACCAAACCGTGTAAAATTTGAATATGTTGCCAAGTAAGAGTAGCTGAGTAAAACTGCGATATGCAAATTAGTGGTGCTGCTTTCGGAATACGTCATCTGCGAGGAGCATAAAAGTCCATGTTTGAGAGCAAGCCCACATATTTCACTGTGACAGTGACATCAGAAATCTGAGATAGCCAATTCGTAAGAATGACCTCCAGGCATCATTTGCCTGCAGAACTGAGATGGAGAGCCATTGGGAGACTAGAGGCAGGACAAAGTCAAACAGAACTGGCCAGATGGCGAAATGGGAGTTCTTCTGTGGTTCATAGACTTTGGAGGCAAATTCAAACCACAGATTCGGCATCTAGGAGGTTCAGCCAAGGACGGCCAACCGCTACGACGAGCGCCGATGACCGATATTTGACATTAAGTGCACGCAGGAATAGAACCGTTAGTCCGACTCTTCTTAGATCCTCCCTTGCTGCAGTCACCGGAAGGTTCGTGTCAACGTCAACTGTGCGTAGAAGGCTTCACGAAGGTGGTCAGTATGCGAGGCGACCAGCCATTTGTGTGCCGCTCACGTCACGCCATAGGAAGGTATATCGTTTTTAGTGGGCACGACAGCATGTCCACTGGACGCCTGATCAATGGAGGGCGGTTCTCTTTACAGATGAGTTCAAGTTTAGTCTAGAAATCAATAGTAGGCGTTATTTGATATGAAGAGAATCTAGAACCCGTTATACATCCGTGAAAGAGATATATACGGAAGAGGCAGTGTCTGTGTTTGGGGTGGACGCACAGACCTCCATGTCTTTCCAAGAAGGACCGTGAATGCTCAGATTTATAGAGATGACATCCTTGATGTTTATGTGCGCCCATATGCCGGGGCAATAGGTGATGCTTTTTTTCTATTACAGGACGACAACGCAAGACCACACAGGGTTCGCATCGTAGAAGATTATCTTCAACAGGAAACAATAATGCGCATGGAGTGGCCAGCTGGATCCCCGGACTTGAATCCTATCGAGTACGTTTAGGATGCTTTAGGGAGACGTCTAGCTGCTCTCAATCCGCCCCCTCAAACCCTTGTCGCGCTTGCAACTGCTTTGCAAGAACAATGGCTCTCGCTTCCTATGGAACTGATAGACCGCATAGTTGAAAGCATCACACATCGTTGTATGTGCTGTTTCGCTTCTAGAGGCGATCATATTCCATATTGAAGATACTTTTCCTATAGCAAGCTGACACCTTCGATTTGTTATTTTATACATGTGCTAATTTCTATACTACCATATTTGTCTGGTAATTTCTTTTTATGTTATTTTATACCTTACTATGTGTATATTGTGGTAAGTTTTATTAAATTCTTTACATGTAACGTTTTCAGTAGTCGTGATTTTTGTGATTTTTCCTTAATTTATGATAACCAGTGTATATTCAAATAGAGAAACGAATTGAAAGAAATATAGTAGCTATACAAATAGCTGTTTGCGTTTTGTTTTATAATAAAAAAAATGTATTATGAAGGAAAAAAACTGAATTCTAATTTTAATGAAAACATACAGTGGATGGACAAAAATATGGAAACACATTGTGAAATGCATGTTTGAAAAGAAAGATTGATTTTAATGAAATATGTAGGTGGCGCTGGCGTTTTTGACTACTGACGCCACCTCTACAACTTCGTAAATGTGCTAAACAGTTCAGTTGTTGTCGGAGTACTGTTATGTGAGGTTGTCATTGCATTATGTCAGAGTTAACAGACTTCGAACGTGGGCAAATTGTTGGAGCACGTATGGTAGGTGCTTCCGTAAGCAAGGTAGCCGAGGTGTTTAGTGTTTCAAGAGGTACTGTATCGAAGATTTATTCCGCATATTTGAAAAGCGGAAAAACATCATCTGCTAAATCACAGCGCGGACGAAAGTGTGTCCTGAGTGATCGGGACAGACGATCATTAAGGGCAATTGTGACGAAAAATAAGAAGACCACAGCTGCAAAAGTTACTGCTGAAATGAATGTTGTGTTACCGAACCCTTTGAGTACCAAAACAATTAGAAGGGAGCTTTATAAACAGGGAATTGCTGGCCGTGCTGCAATTGAGAAGCCACTCATCAGTGATGCTAATGCCCGTAACAGGCTGCTTGTTGCCAAGAGTGAAACATGGCGGGGGTTCTGTTATGGTTTGGGCAGCCATATCGTGGTTCTCTGCTAGCCCCATGATAACTGTGTCAGAGCACATGACTGCCAAGACTTATGTGAACATTTTGGCCGATCAAGTTCATCCCATGGTACAAACTTTGTTCTCCGATGGTGATGGTGTCTTCCAAGATGACAAAGCCCCTGTTCACACAGCTCACATTGTCCAGGACTGGTTTTCTGAGCACGAGGATGAGTTGTCCCATCTTCCCTGGCCACCACGGTCACCAGACCTGAATATTATCGAACCTTTGTGGTCTACATTGAAACGGAAAGTGCGTTCTCGTTATCCACCGCCAACATCGTTATCTGAACTTGCCACCGTTTTGCAGGAAGAATGGTATAATATTCCCTTGGCAAACATACAGGAACTGTATTTATCCATTCCGAGAAGACTGCAAGCTGTTTTGGATGCCAACGGGTTTCCTACACCATATTAAGCAAAGAAACATGTTTTTTTAAAGGTGTTTCCATATTTTTGTCCAACCCCTGTATTTCATTAATCTAAGTGTACGGTAGGATTATACTCATTTCTCCAAAGTCCAGCAGATGGGGATCTAGTACCTATTAAAATCTTCGAATTACATTTTGACAAAATACATGAGATACTTCAGGATAAGTTAGGATGTTTTATGGCGGTGTTAAGTAAACGTAAACTACACTGGTTATCATTAATTAAGGAAAAATCACAAAATTGACGATTACTGAAAAAGTTACGTGTAGAATTTAATGAAACTGACCCACAGTATACAACACATAGTAAGGTATAAAAGTAACATGAAAAAAATTACCAGACAATTATGGTGTTATAGAAATTAGCGTATGTATAAAATGAAAAATATCGAATGTGTCAGTTTGGTATAGGAAAATTACCTTTAATATCGAGTATGATCTGCCCTAGAAGCAATAGAACACATACACTGATGTGTGATGCTGTCAGTTATGCAGTCTATCAGTTGCGTAGGAAGTGGGAGTCATTGCTCTTGCAGAGCAGTTTCAAGCGTGGAAAGGATCTGAAAAGAAGGACTGAGAGCAGCTGTACGTCTTTTATAAAGCATCCCAAATATGCTCGATAGCATTCCGGTCCTCGGTGATCAAGCTGGCCACTCCATGCGCTGAATTGTTTGCTGCTGAAAATAATCGTCCACGATGCGAGCATGTTTGATGGATGGTACGGGTCTCAAGTTCTCAAATAACACCTACTATCGCTTTGGATGCTAAACCTGGATTCATCCGTAAAGAGAACAACCCTCCATTGATAAGCTATCCAGTAGATTTTTTGACGTGCCCACCACAAAGTTCCCTTCCATGACGTGTCGCGAGAGTCAGGCAAATGGCTGGCTGCGTCGAGTACAGACCTCCTTCGTGAAGCTTTCTGCGCACGGTTGACGTTGACACCAACCTTCCTGTGGCTGCAGCAAAGGAAGATCTGAGTTGAGGTTCTAATTCTACGTGTGCATAACAACAAATATCGGTCATCAGCGTTCGTCGTAGCAGTTGGCTGTTCTTGGCTGAACTTCCTGAATGCCAAATCAGCAGTTAGAATTCGTGGTCAAAGTCTATGAACCACAGAAGGGCTCATCTTTAGCCAGCTGGGCCACTTCTGTCTGACGTTGTCCCGCCTCTAATCTCCTCTCTATCGCAATTCTTCGGAAAAATGATGCCTGGAGGTCACTGTTACAAATTAGCTATCCCAGATTTCTTGTCGCAGATTTCGTATCGCAGCGAAATTTGAAGGCTTGCTGTGGATGCTCTGAAACATGTAATTGTGTGCTCCTGGCAGATGGCACTTTTTGATTGCAGCGCCACTAATGTGCATATAGTTTACTTAGCGATTCTTATTTGTATATTCAAAGTTTATACGGATTGCCTTATTTTTCAACGAGTTATCGCTATGTTGATTTGTCCTTAATTTTTGGAAATCAGTGTAGTATGATATCGATGCAGGAAAAGAAAGCTTTAAAAGGCAAATTAATCACTAACGAGCCATTTTTTTCGTAGTTAAATGCGCAAATTTCAAAACTAAAACAACAACCTTAACTTTTTTAGACACAAAAATCCAAACAAACTAGAAAAATTTCTTGCTTGACACATATGTTATTTCGTAGATTTTAATATGTTTTTGCAACATTATCATGACATGTAATGCCATTTTAATTCGAAGTTTTATTTTAATCGAACATCCTATCATTGTTAGAAAATTGACATTTAACATTTTTCGTTGTATTATTACAGATGGATGCAGCTCTCAAGAAATATGGACATAAAGATATCAAATGGTCATCCCAAGGGATGTTAAGAATGGAGCCCTCCGTTATGATGAACTTGTTCCAGCCGACATTAGATGCTATACGTAGACATGTAGCCCAAGTTTTGGACACTTGCGATAGCAGTGGAGATATTTCCTATTTGTTCTTAGTGGGTGGATTTGCCGAATCTACCATCCTCCAAAAGACTATACGTGATGCTTTTTCAGATAGACTGAAAGTGATAATCCCTCAGGGCGTCAGCTTAGCGATACTTAAAGGAGCTGTATTGTTTGGTATAGACCCGACTGTTGTCAGTTCTCGCAGATCTAGGTTGACCTATGGTGTCGGAGTCCTAAATAGGTATGTGCGCAGTAATTCAATATGTTAATTTATTTTAATTCCTAGAGTGTAGGATACGAAACTGTTACACACCCTAAGAGACTAGAACTGATAGAATAAGTATCTTAAGAACGGTTTGGTCTTTCTCTAGTTCTTCATAGTAAGCCTTATATGGGATCAGTGAATTGTGGGTATCGTTCCAAATGATGGTGTTAATGTCAGTTGAATATTCCTTAATCATCATCGTGGTAACTGAAGATTGATGATAAATTGCATTATTCTGCTGGAATGTCCTTTCGCTTAAGAGCCCGATCTAGAATCTTAAAGATTTTCTGAAGATCTGTGAGAATAGTGCGCATATCTGTCAGAAGGATAAAAAAGGCCATATGAACACGTTATCCTAATACCGCATTCATCTTGAAGGGTATCTTTCAGATAGTAAATATCGGGCCTGTAGTCAATGCGTAGTGCATGCAGCCTTGATTCATGGACTGTTCTCTCCGACTTGTCTGTGCTAACGTCCAATTCCGATTTTTCGAACCCGTTTCATTCTTTGAATTGGTTTACAATATACATGCAGTGGGACACCAGGAGGTCTTTAGTTACTAAATCCAGTGGTAGACAATCTTTTTATGTATATTTTGTGTTTGGGCGGCAATGAAATTTGTTGTGATTTCCTGTTATCACACCAGTGCGTCTGTAAGTTGTTTTTGTTCGTTAAGAGCTTTGAATAAGGTATTGCTCGAGTTATTGAGAAGGCCAAAAAGGTTTACGAATCGGACCAAGAATTTTAATTCCTGTCATAATAATAAGGGAAATTTTCTAAAAAGTACTCTTCAGTTCATTTGTAATTTTCAGCATTTTAAATGTAAAAACTCATAATAGTGTAGAAACTAAACATACATCTAAAACGTAAATTTGATGTACCATTTTTATAGTATGATTTTATAGTATGCTTGTAGAGACATGAAAAATCTGCAATGCCCTCACCGGGACTTGAATCACTGGGACACCACCACGGCCCTCTCTAATACACGCCGAGTGTGTTGACCATTAAGCCACGAAGGCATGCTAAGAAGGTTGGAGGAATACCTTATATACTCCCGCTTTCAAAGGGCGACTGGGGATTAGGGGACCTAGACGCCAAATCATGGTGGTGAAGAATTATCATCTACCACCATTTTTAGCTCGGGAGCCACTGTAAATACATTAGGTATTTTTGATACGGAAGACGTGAAAAATGAACAATGCCCTCGCCGGGACTAGGACCTCTCGAAACGCGCCGAATGTGCTGAGCATTACACCAGGAAGCCATACTAAGAAGGCAGGAGAAATACCTTATATATTAAACTATATTTTGTTCGTTATTTTGCTCTTAAGTATTTTATTTTCTTTCTTTGAATAAAAAAAAAAGTAAATCTAAAATTTTCAAAAAATTTTAAAAATATGTTAAACGCAGAAAAATAGTAAAGTGAAATTAAAATATTTCTTAAAAATTAACTCATAATATATGATTCACATGAAATTTAAACATTAGTGTATGAGGTGTGTTTTGTAAGCAAAATAATGCCTTTATTTTGAAAAACGAAATACAGAAACTTTATAGACGACACAGCGAAAATTCCTTTCATAAAAACGCTTAATACCGTCTTATGTTATTAGGTTAAACCTACGGCAGATTTGTGATTGATGTTGCCGATAGTTGTTTTAGACTGTGGCACGTCTATAATTGTTGGTTGTGAACAATGGGCTCAGATATTAATAACGATCTTCGCCAGTGCGGGGCACCTGTGAAGGTATTCTTGGCTGCTGCTGCTCTATTAGGTATAGAGCTGACGACTTTGCATACCATAGCTTGATCGCTAAACCGATCACATCAAATAGGGCTATCTTTGCCGCTAGCAGTTTTGGCGATTTCTTCCGTGCGCGGCAAGTGCAGCGCCTTCATAATAAGTGTATTTTAGTTCAATATGCTATTTAATACGCAACTTACTTAAAATCGCAACCAAATTATCAGTCACTTGTATTGGAGTCGCCCCTGTAGCAAGAGAGACGAACCTAATTGTTTCTTAAATATTTCTAGTTTTACATCGTCCTTGCACTAAATTAAAAGTGTATATTTTTACGAAATGTAGCCAAGAGGTAAAACTAGAAATACAGTGAAGAAGTAAACTTGTTAACTAACTGGGTTTTGATACCTAAACATAAACAGCTAACAATACTAGAAAGCATTATACTAAACTGTCATTGCTGATGGGTGGACGATACGTGAGATAGTTTCCTTGATGAAAAGCTAAATTTTTCTAAATCTGCACTTTCTCTTGTTATTTAAATCTAATTTAATTTACATTGAGGTGAGGCTGACGGACATGAAAGTAATGTGTTAATTAAAGTAAATCGTACAACATTACCATGTACATGGCACTTCAGTGGGTCTTGCTAATTTGTTATAACTCGTCAATGAGCGGAGTTAGTACCGCCAGATTTTGTGCGCTTGCCTAGAGAACGAAAGGAAACTTATTTACGGAGTCTCTTTTTTTAAAGCTAAAATAGACTGATATTCAGTAGAAGACCATTTTTCCCTGTCAAACCCTTTCATCTTTTTAACTAGAGACAAGGAATTATGTCCTAGTGCTTTCAAAAATAAGCTAAAAGCTATCACGACTGTCAAACGTGCAAGTTTGACTTCAGTGGCTGATGAAAAAAAGGGCTTGCGATCTAATTAAAAACATCAAGAATGGCTAAAACCATCACCGCTGCGCGTTGCCAAAGCAGTAACTGAGAAAAAGCCATCAATACTAACACGACAGTAGACCCAACAATTTGACGTTAGTCCAGTCATAGCATAGAGAATAATCAGAAAGATTTTGATATTTTTCATTACAAAAATACAGTTAAAGCAAATTCTCGGGCCGAACGTAGTTGAAAAGACTAGATTTTGCCAACATCATGAGCCAAGTGATTAACACTGTTTTCAACCGTAGGGTATCGTTTTATGCTATGAGGCTTACTTCTGGTTGGATTTATTTATATATCAGCCGTCAAAATTACTACATTTGAGACAATAAAAAGCCTGAAATGGTCGTTGTCATATCTTATCCTCCACAAAAGGTCGTTGTATGATGAAAGCGTCTTGGGTTCATATTCTTTTATTCAGAGTTTGAATTCAGGATGTTCCATCTAATTCTTACGAACGAAGTTCATTCCTAATGCCTACTACAAACTGTGGATCCAAGATGCATGGATCCACATTCAACAGAGAGAAGTCCTGAACTTGTTCAGAAATCGCTTTGACAATCATTAGTTAGTTATCGCTAGAGGCTTCCGGAATCACTTTGGCGAAGTACTTTCTTGATTCCCATTTAGTCCTTTTTATCGCACTCTACTTATAAGGCTATATTAAAGTCTACAGAGATCGACCAAAACCACAGAAGAGCTGAAAATAAAGATATCAAATATGAAAAAGTCGATTTCAATAAACTGATGAAAGCTGGTTATCATGAACTTCAAGGTGAGACTTTTCGTTAGACTTCTCAAGTGGCAAACATTTTGAGAAACTCATGTTTTATTTTTCTTCATTCTTGTGTGTAAATCCTGAAAGTCTTTCTCCGTTCAATAATTACGGAATAATTTCATTGTTGAGAGCGTGCGAAGCACCGTTATATAATATTAGCTAATTTTCCATCTGTTGATAATGCAGTAAACGGAATGAAGAAATTCTGATATTTACATCATCTCACTTTAATGTTTATTTTAATAATATTTGTTTTCATATTAATTTGTGAAATTATATGAGCAATAAATGCTTTCAAGCATGTTATTAAACATTTATTTTCCAGACTTTTTTGTTATGTTAAGATTTTATATAAACTATGATAATGACTATAAGACGGTTTAGAGAAAATTATAAATATTTATGAGCCTAAAATATTTGCATTTTCATACGAACGTAAAGTATATGTTTTCTAATCTCAGTAACAAATTAACCAGGTTATCATCGAAGTATAATTTATTTCTAAAAAAAAAAATGTTTTAACATTTTTCTTTTCTTTCCTATTTTTTTATCTATTAATTACATGTAAAGTAACTTTAAAAACCATAATTTAAATTAAGCATGAGATTAATCCATAATGTAACATTTTACAGGTTTATTAATGGCGTGCATCCACCAGAAAAGCTTGTGGTTAAAGATGGAGTACAATGGTGTGCTGATGTCTTTGACAAATTTGTACTTGCCGACCAATCCGTTTGCGTTGGTGATACTGTCATTCGTCGCTATACTCCTGCAAGAAGTGGCCAAGCATGTAGTGTCATTCATATATACTGTAGTGAGAGAGATGATGTAGCATTTATTACAGATCCTGGTGTCAAACGCTGTGGTACTTTGGTGCTGGACTTGCCAGACGACTCGCATTCTGCTGACAGTGTGCCTGCTGGCAAGCGAGAAATTCAAACAATCATGATATTTGGTGATACTGAACTAAAAGTGAGTGCCATGGATGTCCTCACTGGAAAGTGTGTGAAAGCAGAAGTGGACTTTCTGAATGGTTGAAACGCATACAGATTTCTTTCAGGAAACAGTTTCAATTTCTTGAAAGTGCTTAATTCACGATACAGTTTCAATTTCTTGAAAGTGCCTAATTCACGATGATTTCTTATTATATCATGCTTCTTTCAATATCCGCCTCAAAGTTTGGACGATTAAAATATCAGTTATAGCATCTGCGTCAGATGTCATAATTTTCACATTTTCTCGGATGATTTGTGAAGCATTCGAGCTGCTTGATCAAATTTTCCGCTTTCTGTTTATGCGCTGATATACTGTGATCTTTCAGAAAGATGTATTCATCCTCTGTAGTGTACTGTGATTAATTATGGAAGCATGGAGTGTCCGAAAGTTTCAAACATTTCCTAACTACATCTTAGACTTCAGCGGTTATGTATTGAGGATTCTATTAATTAAATAATAAAAGCAGGAAACCTTTTGAATGTTCAAAATACTGCTAATCATGTGCAGATTTATTGTGCAGAATAAAATTGATTTAGAAAACTATTGAATCTGGAAAGAATGAAGCTTCCGAAAGGTAGCTTCAGAAAGAGAAGGATACTTATTTTTCAGACTCATCGCGGAAGTGATGCTGGTATTTTAATAAATATATCCTATTTATGCTGATTTAAATGCTGTGTGAATATATAGTGATGTGTTGATTAAAATAGGATATTTCTACCGAACTCATTATAAAACAGTTTAATTACAAAAATGTTTGGTTGGAAGATTCGTCAACTTTTTAACCCTTCATTAATGTAGGAAATATTCTCTGTATTGACATTTATTTGAGTTTGAAGAAAAATGAATTATAGATCTGTTATTTCGATTAGTATCTTAATGAGTACCTTCGAATTATGATATAGTATTCTGTAATTCTGACATAAAATTAGCTTATTTTCTTAATGCATTTATGTATCAATTACCGTATATAATAGATATTTTATAGCTTTGATTTTTTTGTACCATAAAGCGTTCGTATATCCCCTTTAAAACCAATGTAAAATTTATAGTACGAAGTATATAATTGAAACTGTTTGTTTGTAATGATTTCCTGTAATATGACATAACTGTCTATTACATAAATATAGTACATTGGGAAAGCATAAACATATTTAAGTGTATTTTAATGATATTGTTTTAATATACATCATATTATTATGCAATAAAATGGATTAATTTTGAATGTGAACTATTTAAGACTAACACAAAAATTTCTCTCCCCCCCCCAGAAAAATATCTTGTTTTGTACTCTGCTTTTGGGAATGTGTAATAGGATATAACATAAGAAAAAATTTAAAAGGTAGAGATTGTCTGGGTAATCTATTACAAGATCTGATAAAAAAAAGTGCTATAACATATGCAATTATAAAAAAAAATGTACCTAATGGGCATCATTTGCATCTTTTTTTTCCCCCGAAACATCCTCCTCTGCATGCAATGCATTCAAAACATAGTAGCAAAGTTTGGCATATATTAAAAGAGCAGTTTTCAAGAACTACTCTGCTGTGCCTAGAAATCCCAAGAGTATTTCACAGCATAAATGTAGCCTACGATCTTCTTTAATGAGACCCGAAATCTTGTTTATCATAACATACATTTTATTGCTTATCTCAGATTCTAAGGATTTCCATCCTAACTAGATTTTTCGTTAGTAGTAAGCAACAACGCTGATTTTGACAACAATCTGCAGAATTTAGAAGTTCGTGGGCTAGATATCGCATTTTTCAATAAATGATAGTTTTAAGTAGTATCTTCTAATGCTTCGCAATTTTGTTTCTGTCTCTCTGCTCCTTCTGTACCCTTTCTTTTATTCAAAACTTAATTCATCAATTGCATATATGAGTAAATATATGTCATATATCTTTATTTTAACTTAACATGATTATTTGTGTTGCCATCAGAACGTACAACATTTTGTTTCCCTGTTTGATATGTTTTGTATAAATAGCACCATGCAGAGATTTGTTAAATGATTCGATTCGGCAAATCTTCATATATTTTCACGAATAATAATCTACATATTTAATACATTGGACTTCATCTTTACCAACAGTATTCTATAGTAGAGTTTATGAATTAATTAATTCCTGGAAAACTTTTGGTTTAACAGAAACTCCATGTAGATTTATTGCTTAAAATGCGCCAAGCCAAAGAATAATTGATTTGATTTGTTAGAATTATAGCAATCATATATTTTGATATTTACATATGTTTGTATATATTTTTGTATGCCTTATTCATTTGTAAAAGTAATGTATGTCATGAAGAAATTTTTATATCTGCAGCATGTAGTAAAGTAATTCCTTTTCTGGCAAGAGTGAACAATGTATATTAACTGGGTATGCCCAGTTTTATGTGCCAAGTTATTACCTAGCTTTATTGTATATGTGTTTTTTCCGTGCAATAAAATTCTTTTTTTTGAAATTTTACCTGTAGCTTCCTTTCCTTTTCCACAAGTTCCCGTTTATTTTGCCCTGATTCTTTTAATAATGTAAAGAAATGCTTTTTTCCATTGCTTTTGGATCTGATTTCTTTACAACTTGGGAAATCAGGCTGAAAATATGCTTCTAGTACATAATTATAATTACTCTCTTGGTAAATATATCAGAGTACGTGGAATGAATCATATGCTTGATGCTATCTAACCGGCTGTTGCTTAGTCTCTAGGTTGGACATTTAATGTTCCTTAAAGCTTAAATATATACTGCAGCAAGAGATTCTCGATATGGCTGATGAAGAAAGTACCATGAAGATAATCACTAAAGCCATGAGGATAATCACTAAAAAGACTAGCGTATCAAGCTGAGCATTATCATGCCACAAGACAACATCATGAAATAGTCAAAGATAGGACAAGTGACGGAGGAATGCGAACACTACCTATCTACCATAGCGATTAATTGGTATAGCACCGCGTCCCCCTTATCTAGAGCATCACAAGATGGTATGGGTCAGGGTGAGGGGCTACACGACCCCCTCACACAAGTCCCGATTTAAAATAATGCGAATATTTGTAGAGCTTATCCATTACAATCTTGTGGTAAATACCATATGTAACAGTATTATATGTACAAAAATTTTCACATGAATTTGTTTTGGCTTCGATAACCATCCGTTTGTATAAAGCCGTTTCTTTTTGAAAAATTATGAGAGTGTTGGACTGAATATTATTCGTTCTTTCTTGTTTCAATCGTCTTCTCAGCGCGCGGCACTTCAAGGCTATGACCCTTGGGGTCTGTTGTATGCGTAGCTTCCTTTTTCATCAATGCAGCTTGTTAATTTGTTTATTAGTACTTTTACGGGGAGGTGTTCCTCACATCTTTCTTGTAGAGAAGTCATAGGATCATCCATAAAATGCTCTGTGTCTGCTGTGGATCTTATATTATTTAGGCATTTGTGGAATGTGAAAAGTCGTAATTTTATTATTCTTGTAAATGCTCGAATCTTTCTTCCTGGGGAGTAATATCTTTTGATAAAAGTTGTAGTTATAGTTCTATCGATTTTGTAGGTGATGTATTTATGTTCCTATAAGCTAGTTTCTTCGACCACTGTCCAATCTTGCCTAAGTGTGGCTGCGGGTGATGTAGCCAATGTAAGGTCTGGCCAACCTTGTGCATACATATTATCAAACATTGGAAGAGCATCTTCTGTATTAATTAGAGTTAAGTTATTTGCAGAGAGAAAGTCTTCAAGGTTATGACCCTTGGGTCTGTGTTGGCATATCTACAATTTATATTACGGGTGTTGAAGTCACCTGTAAGAGAATGTTAGCTATTTGTACTGCTTTAGCAAACTGACCATGAATATTGTAGCTGCATTTATTTTTGATGTGGGTGGGAAGTGTATTGAGTTGAGAATAATCATAAGATTATGTGTTTCTAATAGGACAGCAATATAGTTTCTTTCTAATGAAATGATATTAGATGACCAGTCTGAGTTGGTGCAAATAAGATGGCTCGTGGAGGGACTTCTTTGTTCTCCTTTTGAAAGACATTCCATTTAAATGGGAAGTCTATGACTTTGCCATTCCGCGTGTTCTTGAATAAATATGAAATCTATGTCTTGTTCCGCGGCGTAGGCTACTGCATGCGCAGTTGCAGCTTTCGCCTTCTGAAAATTTATTTATAGGCAGTTAATTGCCTGAGAACGATGTCGTTAAGTAACACTGATATTAGTACATTTACTGACTTGATGTTCTCTCTGGAATGAGAGATCTGACGTTTGGAAATGGTGAATAGTATTCAATGATACTGCGGACATAGAGTACTCTCCGCTGGTATTCTGGACATTCGTTGTAGTAGGCAGGATGCTTGAAATCGTACTTTGCTCCATATCGGAGGTTTGTGTCACCGCAGTTAATACATTTTGCCTGATCGCTTCTACATTCTCGGATACTGTGAGGCCTTGTGCAATAGGCACAATATGGCTTTGTGCTTTGACATTTATCCTGTGTTTGTCCAAATTGTTGACATCTGTAGCATCTCTTGATTCCAAAATATTCTGTGTCAAAGATAGGACAGCATACGTTTTATGATTGTACTGATCCCTAGTTGTACCGTGAGAGTGTTGTGAACGCCTAAGAGGGCTATTAGGAAACGGAATAGCGCGCCAGACCATTACGTTCTGCGTGGCAGCCGTTTGGCATTCATCAGTGAAAGATTAATGTGCTAGGCGGCCAGCTGTCTTCAGATAGGTCTGCGTGGGTACCATGTAAAATGAGATTTACATATTACTAAAAATAATTAGATTATATTGTACGCCATGCGAAGTTGATTTCAATGAAAGCTACTAGCGGCCAGCCTAAACTGAGAGTGCTGAATGTAGGAGAAAGTGCGGACGTTTCTCAGATACAGTTATATCATTTGTAACAGATAAATTTAAAAAATTAAACAATGAAATATCATTTATTTTTGAGAAAGAAGACTAATTGAAAAAGGAAGCTTAAGGAATGATTGTTGCACCCCAAAATTTCTGTTTAAAAGTTAAGTCTTATTAAACATTTGATGAACAATCGGAAATGAAAGATAACATTTTTGGGGAAACTGCAAATCTCAATAACCGCAACTGTACGTATGGAGCTTTCTGCTAGTACCTCCTGCACAGACGTATTGGCAGAACATTGAAGTCTCTCTCTTCAGCAGGGAATTGCCAACAGCCAGACCGTCATATGCTTAGACAGTGGCAAGACAGTTTCTGTCCGCTTTGTGTCTATTATCGGTTTTTTTTGTGTGTATAAGTTCTAAGATTTTCATTATAAATATTCTTATTAGTTACGTGTGCATTTAATATTATGATAAATTTGATTTTCAAGGCAGATCCGCACTTATTAGTGCCTCAAGTTCTGCTAAATGATGAAAATAATAATAAATGTCGTGTCGCTACATTATGTACAGAACACAGACCAGAATTATCAAGACTTACGAAAAAAATGTTTTCCATTGCAGAGCAAATAACCGTATGCATATTTCACAAGTGCACATTTCTGTAGCCACCGAGGGAGTGGCTTCTAGGATGGACCAATGAACATCCAGTAATATTTCTGTCATGTCACATGACCCTTCGCGTGCTTTAAGATTTAAGCAAGATGGTTGAAAATATTTTGCCACGCAATTTTCTGTACAAAATAATTAAACCATCGTCGATTTCTTCTGAAAATTTTCACTGCCGAGTTAGATCAAATCTAAGCAATTGTGAAGATTTCACTACTTGGTTGAAAGCATTTGAAATAAATAAAAATCCATTTTGGACACTCCGCAAAAATATCCATGTGAAATATTACTTAATAAGTGGTAAATAAGATGAGGAAAGAAATATGTAATTAACATCTGAGCTCAAATGCTATCTTTACATAAAACTGTGCATATGAGAAAAATATTTACACCAATTATATATGTAAAATAGAAGTCAGCACTTTTTATTGCAGTCTATATGAAAAAGATGTTTTATAATAATAGCCAATGCAGAATTTTATTCAAAGTGAACTTTACTAATTTGCATTCGTATACATTTTTAGTGTGTTAAATTTCACATACAATAATTGCTCACTGTTAAATATACTGTCTACACAAATACTCAACAGAATGAATTTATCTTATTCACAACGAATATATTCAATTTATTAACATATAACTTTTAATGTTAACAATGGATATAATCAGGTTATACATAATATGTATTCTGAAACTTACACTTTAAAAATCAGAAGAATGTAAGCACTGAAATAAGAAAACACTAGATTCATTGTAACACTTCCAGTCCTTCTCAGCTCAATTAAAAAAAAAAAATGCATTTGAATTCTATTAATCCACAGGTGTTAGTAAATGCATAATATTCGAGGCTCATTGTACTTGAGTCATTTTCGTGACGTAAAGAGCGATAATATGTCGTGAACATCAATCCAAATATTAATGCGTGATAAAAATCGCGACAGTGAAATGTCAGCGATTAATTATACTTGTAAAATGAAAGCACAACGAGATTTTCTACTATTACGCCATACATTTATAACTTTGAAACAAATGCAAATTGAAACGGAAACAACATACGCTCACTTGTAGGAAGATTTGGCGTCACAAAGAGCAATAGAAGCTCATTGAACCATTTTCGAAACTCCTCCCTCAGTGACTATGCTGATGTGCACTTGTGAAATATGTTAACCGTATTCTATATGACCATATGCACATTTTATGTATTCAATACATTTCTTAAAATATATTTTCACTTATTTCAAGATTTTTTCGGAAGAAAAATAGTAAATGCCAATGAATATTCAAGTTTACAGTTTAGTTGGAATCCTTAATTATTTTATTAAAGAAATAACAGAGATTCTTACACAGCAGTAAATTAAATACTGCAATGCATTTCTGCCTTCTCGTGATCACTTACACTGTAGACGCCGGGAATGGAAAAGATTAGCTGTCTTCAAAGGACTAGAACCATCGTTTCTACCTTGGCCCGTTCTGGCGTGGCAGAGTCTGTACGGCTACTGTCAAGTCTGGATTCGGGGTGCGTGATCGCTAGATGTCTACATAAAATCTGGTCGTATGTGCTAATCATGTATGAGTGGCCGTGTGCCGATCGGTTTGGCCTGCGCCTAACGAACTGTCTTCTCGTAGAAATGACAATCTTATATAAGGGACACACTTACGCGAAGGCAGGTGTGCACTGCAGTACCATATCTGAAGTAACTTGTATAACTAGGGTACTGATTTTAAGACAATCCGAAACACAGATTTTTGGATTTTAATGAAAAGTATTCCATCTCATAGAATCTTTTAAATATTTGAAATAGAATACTGAGCTAAACTTTTTTAAATGGTAATAACCGCAAAGGTATACCCATACTTTTGTTCACAGTTTGGTTACAGAGCTGTTGTTACCACTGTCTAATTTTCAGATAGTGCGACGGTAATCATAACTATACATGCAC